ATCTGCATGTTCTAACTCATTATCTCAGTCATGTTCAGGAATTTCTAATTTGGAGTAGATAGACACATAATAATGGGTCACAAAAGTGACTTTTTTTTGTCAGTCATAAAATCTGTCAGGTTTGCAGGTGTTCTTTGAAAAGATCCATGTTGAAGATGCATTTACGGCCAGCGATCCTCTCAGTGGCCTTACACCAGCAGCAGACCTGTGCCATTCTCACTCTGCTCACTCAAGCTGCTAGCTACTTCAGCTGCTGCAGTTTTGAGGAAATCATGGGTCAGGCAGCAAAAGAGAAATAATAACAAGCAAATGTCAGATCCACTTTCTCAGTGGGTTTTTCTTTTAATTATTTAATTTTTGTCAGCACTGTAGGCTTTTGTGCTATTTTCCCAGAAGTATGTCCTGAAAACCCCTGTGGTCACACACTGCACTGCTTTGGTGGGGTCCTGACATTAGCAGATCTGGATGCCATGTTCTTGCTTCTACACTGTTTATATTCTTTTACAAGTCAATTTGAATATGCAAAATTTGCTGACACTTTCACCGTTTTACCTCTGCTTATGTATAGGGCTACCATCATCGTCAAGATTGCTTTGTTGTGCCACAGTCACGATCATTGTCAAGAAAAACAAGAGGTTCTTTAGAAGTTTATGATTTCCAGTCCAGATGAAATGCTTGGGCTCAGTAATTTCTTTTTTTACACTATATGCTCTGAAATACTTAACTCTCCTACATTTGTTTTACAGAAATTATTTTGTAGCTGGATGCTTTTTCCCTGGAGTTTTTTTAATCATGCTTTGTCTGAGTGGTGACAGAACACACACACAGTGTGGCACATGGTCCTCCAGATGCCTCCAGATCTGTCTGTCTTTTTTTCTTTTTTTTTTTTTTTAATTCTTTAAGCAGGCACACTCCCTACCTGTTATTTTTTCTCAGAAAAGTAACCACTTTATCATCGATATACAATGGAAACTACTTAGACCACTGCGAGGCTAACAGCTTAGAGGTCTAAGATCTTAAAGCATGTTTGACAACGTTTCAGTGGAGTAAGATATATTTATCTTGCATGTCTGAGCTATTTCCTCTCAGAAAATGGCATTAGCAGTTGCAAATAAGCAAGCCTTTTTGGACTAATGAACTGAATATGATGTAATTGTTTTAACACACTTTCTGTCTTAATCAGATAATTATATGGACATCAAAAATGTCTCAGTTTTCTGAGCCAGTCCAAAACAGACTCGACATCATGGATAGCTTCATCCTGGTTATAAATGTAATATTGGAAGTATTAGCTAAGTAGATTAACAGGGCATCACAGTTCTGGTTGAGGCTTCCAGGCAGAGGCAAGAAACTTAAAATATTTTGCAGATGTGGCAATGGCAGAAGACTGAACCTAATAGTCTTAAAAGCCTTCTTCAGCCCTAAGAACTCTTGTTTTCTTAGCTTTGGTGCAAATTTGTGGTACAAATAAAACAGTTCTTCCCCTGTACCATGGAGGCATGTCTTGTCATTTGAGATAATTCTTATTGCAACATGCCCTGGGGTTTGATATGTGAGGAGAATAACAGCCTGGACAACAAAACTCAGACCACAGCCTGAAACTTATTACGTGCAATTATTGTTGGCTTTTTTTTTTTAATATGGGCAGCCTCAGGTGAGACAAAGATGACTAGATTTCCTTTTATGACAAAATAACCCACCTAGTTGATTAAGGGAAGCCAACTGATGTAATCTTTTCGGATTTCAGTAAAGCTTTCAATACAGTCTCTCACTGCATCCTTCTGGATAAAATGTCCAACCCAAGATGGATAAACCCGGAGGAGCAATTTGCTCATGGGTCAAGCACAGAGGGTGACAGTGAATGCGGTGACATCAGACTGGTCACCTGTCACTAGTGGGGTTCCACAGGGCTCCATCTTGGGCCCTGCACTCTTCAACATCTTCGTAAGTGACTTGGACACAGGACTGGAAGGGACACTGAGCAAATTTGCAGATGACACAAAACTGGGAGGAGCTTTTGACTCCCTTGAAGGCAGGAAGGCCCTGCAGAGAGACCCCGACAAATCAGGGGGCTGGGCAATCACCAACCATAGGAAATTCAACAAGGAAAAGTGCTGGATTCTGCACCTGAGACAGGGCAACCCCAGATGTTCATACAGACTGGGGAATGAGATACCGGAAAGCAGTGCCAAGAAAGAGACCTGGGGGTCCTGGCTGATGGCAAGTTGGCCATGAGACATCAGTGCCCTGGCAGCCAGGAGGGCCAACCATGTCCTGGGAGGCATCAGGCAAAGCATTGTCAGCTGGTCAAGGGATGGGATTGTCCCACTCTGCTCTGCACAGGGGCAGCCTCACCTTGAATATTGTGGCAGTTTGGGCACCACAATGTAAGAAAGATATTAAGCCATTAGAGAGTGTCCAAAGGAGGGCAATGAAGATGGTGAAGGGCCTTGAGGGAAAGTCATGTGAGGAGTGGCTGAGGGCACTTGATCTGTTCAGCTGGAGAAGAGGAGACTGAGGGGAGACCTCATTGCAGCTACAACTTCCTCGGGAGGGGTAGAGGAGGGGCAGTTACTGATCTCTTCTTTATGGTGACCAGTAACAGAACCTAACAGAATGGCCTGAAGTTGTGTCAGGGGAGGTTTAGGTTGGATATTAGAAAAAGGCTCTTCATCCAGAGTGTGGCTGAGCAGTAGAAAAGGCTCCCCAGGGTAGTGGTCACAGCACCAGGTCTGCCAGAGTTCCGGAAACATTTGGACAAGGGTTTCAGGCACATGGGTGTGATTCTTGGAGTGGTCGTCTGTGGGCCTAAGAGTTGGACTCAATTATTCTGATGGGTCCCTTCCAACTCAGCATATTCTGTGATTTTGTGATTTTTAGGAAAGAATTCATTTCTAGGAAGACTAGCAGCTTTGCCCTAGCAAGTGATCCTGAAAGATCACTTCAAGGGGGAAGAAGTGAAACCCAAAAACTCCTCCAGTGGAGACACTCTGCAAAGAAATAGGAGAGAATTGATGAGGCAAGTGTATGCAAATCACCAGGTTCCTGTAGAGACAAAATAAGGTTAGCATCCAAGGAGATGTAGTCAACTAGAAGTAGGAAGTTCATGATTTGAGGAGTACAGTTCAGCTGATAAAAGGATAGAATTCTGTCAAGTAGTAACAAAGGCTGCATGACAGGTGTCAGAGAGGGCCTGTGTAGTGTCCAATAGCAGCCAAACTGTAAGGATCTTCACTCACATCAACTGCCTGTGTACAGCAAGGAGGAACTTGAATAAACCTCTTCTCAGAGTTCAAGGAGCTTTAATATGTTTGAAGGATGCTCTGATACATGCTTTTATGCAGTGCTCTGGAAATAAGAGGCTGAAACTAGGTCAAGAGAGCAATATTCTTCACAGCACAATATTTTAAATTGTGAGATGCATTAGAAGGCCATAGTGATCTCTTTTTTCCCTAAGAGGTTGGGGAAAATAAACTGTGTGTTAATGCAAGTTTTGAACAGATAATTTCTCTGCTGTATTTCTGTGTGTGCTGGTTTAAGAGTCAACCAGCAGGGGAAACGAACTCAACTCAAAGGAGAGACCACAAGTCAGAATAACAATTTATTAAAACACAGCAAGCACAATCACACAAACAAACAATTGGTCCTAACCCACAAAACCCACATGTACAACCCAGTACCCTGGGGCATGAACAAAGTGGTGTTCCCTGGGCCCCGCTTGAGTCCAAAGTAAAGGGAGAGGGGAAAAACCTGCTGGTGGGAGAACTGTTGCAGTCTGGTCAGAAGCGGTGATTGAAGTCCAGCAAAGGTCGAGAGCGACGAGCTGCAGTCTTCCTTCTGGATCCCACGAGTGGTTGCAAAAGTTCTGAAACTCCAGGTTTATATATTCCCCAGTTCAGGCAAAAATGGTCAATCTTTCCCTCAGAGCGGGGAGTTCCATAAAAGGCTCAGAGCGGGGACTTCCATAAAGGGTATGAGGACAAGAGCATCCTCTTATCTCACAGGCCTCTTAACACCTAGTTTATAGCCTGAGGAGTCAGGCTCTATGGGCGGAGGGTGCGAATAGTCTATTGACAACAGTTTCTGGGTAATGGCATGGAAGGCTATAGAATACACAGTTTTGGGTTATACCCATACCATGATGAACTGATCTCAGCTGTCCTAACTAGGACACTGTGGCAGAAGGTTGTCAGACAGATAGTCTAGGGAAAAGCAGTTTACATTAGTTCTCTTCTTATTTCTTTCTGCTTAAAGCAGGAAGATGTAGGTGGAGCCATTGACTCTGCATGATACTGTAAGTGGGACATGTGGATGCGTAGACTCCATTGCAATGGTAATTCTTGCCTTTGACCCAGTGACCCAATAACACATACCTTAGTAGCTGCATCTTTCTATATCATAGAATTTTAAAACTTGTCTAAGCAATTTTCTGTACATACAACTTGGAAATATTGATGTGCTCCAGACTCATGTATGTTTTCCTTCCTCAGATATTGTCGTTTATATTTGGGATTATATTGGGCATTTTCTGTGCTCATTAGTAGCTGACACAGTTTTTGGATGATGTTAAATAGTTTAAGGAAATAACTGTGCTTTAAGTTGTCCATGGTTATAGCTGTGAAGTGATGACTAAGTAGATAGGATGGTCTTAACACTTATGGTTTTACTTCAAGCGAATAGCAGCAAAGGTCAGTGCTCTAAAACAGACAATCAAACAAAACATCTTTCGTAGGAATAAACACCAAAAATTTTTCTTGCTAAAAATTATAAATTGAAAGTAAGTGTTGGGAAACCTTTACCATGTATATGTTAACTGCACATTGGTCATTTAAATGAAAATTAATCAAAAGCATGCTTAAAGCCTGTGCTGAAATGTGACTGAATTAATTTTCTCTGGAAACTCTTGCTAATGGACACAAATTTTACTTTTTTTTTCCTCGAATTTGTCGAAACACAGTATTAATAACATTGTACTGTCTTCTTTTACTTTTTTGGTTTCTGCATGTCTTCTTTCTTCATCTTCTAGATTGGGATAGCCTCCAATTTCTTCTCTCCCTTTCTGCTCTTCCCTTCTTCCCATAGCTTGGCTGCATGGAAGAGGTTTTTTGTTCCAGCTATGTTGTTTGGCAGCTGAACAAAACAAGCATGTCAGGGAGGGGAATAGGACAGGTAGCTCTGACATAGCTTCATGCTGCCAACTCCTCCAGATATACAGGACAACTTTGGTTACATAACCTCATCCAGTATTTGGAAAACCAGGTTCAGACTGAAAGGGACCTGTGGATCCCATGGCTATGCCTGTGATGTTAAATGCTCCCTTACTCACTCCAACAAGGGAGCACAGAGAGCCAGTGGAAGTGGGCTCTTTCCATGGCTCTTCCACGGGACCCACAGCCCCATGGCACTGGTGTGACACTTAATATATAAAAAGTCAAAGTTGGAGCACTCAATGAGCTGAGGGAGTTCCTGCCTAGAGGCAGGGGGTGTGCTAGGGGAAGAATATTTTAGAATTGCAGAGGTCTTATAATAGGTGGTTTATGGAAGAAACTAAAGATGAGGAAAAAAAAGGATTTGGATGATTTGGGGAGGAACAAGCTGGCAAAAACAAAGAGATAAGGTGACAGAAAGAGCTGGTTGTTTTTAAAACAGTTTGCTAATCAATACACTTGTCTGCCAGTGCTGTGTGCCCAATTAGCAGAGTCTATCCTGTCTTCTTATTGTATTAATTTCTAGCTTTGCTTTCCTGGGTTCAGGCCTATGTTCTCTGTGTGTGTATGGGCATACTGAGGTCTCGGTGCCAGCAGCTGGAGTAAGACCAGGGGCTTGGCGGGCTCATGGTAGTGGCACCAGCCTCTGACAGGCTATGATTACATGTGCACATGTGGTGCATTTGTGTGCTCTGCATCTACCTGAGTTTTTAATCATCTCTAGATTTTAGTGTCATTTAAAGACAGCTCAAGCCATGCCAAAGTAGGGAAATTTTGAAACACTTGATTCCTGCATAAAGTGTCTGGTAACATGACAGATGGCAGTTGTAAGTTAGTTAGAGAAATTGAAAAAGGGTTTAGAATTTAAAGGCACCCAGCTAATTGAGATCACTGTCCCACATTACATAGCCATTTACTACTGGAAGTCACATTTCAATGAGCCAGGAGATTAATTTTTATCCATTTATAATAAGGGGAAATAGGGGGGCTTGATAAGTTAATTTCGAATTTTATTTCTTTTCTGTATTGTCATTACTCTTTTCTTCAATTATTTCTTTTATTTGTTTTGTTTCTGTCATTTGTGCTGGGTTTTTTCTTTGGCTTTAGGTTGGTTCTGGGTTAGTTTGGTGGTTTTTTTTCTCCTGCTGCTGCTTTGTGGAAGGGAAATTATCATTACTTATTTACTGGTCTCCCACAATACTTCCACATTTCTGTGTTTTGGCATGTTTTTCAGGAGGTAGGAGTTACTGTGAGACAAGATCCAGAATATCTGAGTGACTGATTTCAGTCTAATCCATCATCTTGGACAATATTGACACCAGTCTAAGTAATGCTAAACCAGTGCATCCTTCATAACCAAAGATGTTAATGATCCCCACAGCTTCTTTATGGCATTACACTTTGTCTGTTCCAAGGGCTTTTGGTGATACTACAGCTTGGATTCTTCACTCCTGAGATTGTAAAAGGTTGAAAGACAGACTTGCCATGAGGTTCCTTATATTCCTTTATGTTGTCAATCCTTATCTAGAGATAAAGGAACTGCAGCTTTCAACTGAATGTGATGAAGCAGTCAATGCCTCACAGTAGTTAAGAATTACTGAGTTTATACACAGGATTTTTCCTCAGTTTCTTCCAATAGTAATCACTTAATTCCCCAATGTAGCCTTCTGAGAACTATGAATAAGAAATTGTGGGATTATTTTGTCACAGATTAACATTAAATCTAAACTTCAAGTGTTTCAATAATATAGTTAAAGTATATAGGACAGTAAAAATTAGAGATAAAGTAGGTAATCTACTTACATTTCAGGAAAATGTAATGCATTTTCAAAGTATATTACGTCCAGCTCACTACCTTTCATAAAAAGACGGTCGGTAGTTCAGTGCTTTTAGATTCCTGAACCTCCCCTTGTTCTTTAGTTATTTTGCTTTCCCTGGAAATATTGCATGTTATATATGCTTTCAAAAATTCTCTGGTCTAAGAGGTGCTGTGAGAAACCCCTGATGACTTTGCAGCATGTCAGGGGAGTTAGTTACAAGGTAGTTAAAGTTGATGTTCCCAGCTCCTGAGATGTCTCATCTTAAAATGCAAATCCTTTGGTGAAGGAGCTAGTCTGCTTCTGTAAGTATACCTGTTTGTAAACATCTAGTACACCAGCATCAGATCTGCACCAATTCTGGTAGATTCTTCGGAGTCTAATTTACTGCAATAGCTTTGATAGGCTGGATCACAAATTAAACAGATGGCATGTGAAATGCTTACTCTGAACCATTAAGGGACGGTACAACATGCTCTTCAAGTAGTTTTCTACACATCCCTCTCCCTTCTTCTCCTCGTTTCAACTTTTTTCACCTTTCTTTCTTTTATTTTTTGCCAGAGCCCTTTCCAGATAATAATCAATTTACCCTCCTATGCATTTATAATTTTTTTCACATGTTAAGACTGTGAAGCCTTTTATATAATCTATTTTCCCAGAAACATGGTAAGGACCATTAGATACCTTACTGTTCTATCTCTACCTTGTATGTATTTGTGTTTCAATTGTTTTGAGAGGTCTGGGCTTGGTTTTTTTTCACATTTTATTGTGACTCTGACAAACAGCAATAGCTAAGTTGCTACATACTTTATAATGTTTTTCCCTAGGCTAAGTGTTTGCTATTTTGTAGGTTGAACTCCTTCAATGTGAAGAAGCCCTTGTAGTTTAGAAAACACTTAGTTCATCTACCTGATGGGTTTAAAAAGCATTAACATTCATTGAGTAGCTTTCTCATCTCTTTAATTTTGACTGTTGATGTTTTTAGTCCCTTTATTTACTGCGTTTGCATAACTGGTTTAGCAGGAAATAACACATGACTATTTTGGTTCCTCTGTATGAGACACTATTAGTGGGGATTGGTGTTTTGGACCATTAAAACACTGCCCAAGAAAGGAGAAGTCACTATTTTTTTTTATTTAATTTAATTTAATTTTATTTTATTTTAATTTAATTTTTTCATGCAGTTCTGTAAGAATAGCTTGGTGCTTTGTAGAGATTTGGTAGGGGCTCTATGTGTGTGTATGTTCATATCCTCAGAACAGAATACTATTTTTACCTCTTTCAAACAGTTCAAACATGGCTCTCTGTTTACCAAATGCTTAATTTTCACTCCCATCCTCAAATTTAAAGATAGAATAAATGAGACTTTTTTTGTGTGTGTATTTCTTTGTAAAGTAGTTTGACCTGAACATATACAGGCTTGAACTTTGCTTAGTGAGTCTTATAGCCCATAGTAAAGATCTCTGAACTTACCTGGCTTCCCATAGCTACACCAGTGCTGTAGAACCCACAGATATATTATTCCTCACCTGAAAAACAAACAAACAAACAAAACAAAACCAAAATCATCAGCAAAACTTGCTGCATATAAAAACATAAATAAGTTTGATTTCTAATTGCACAACTTTCATTCTTGATGGGAAGATCTGCAGGGAAGTTTTGGAAGAAAGGCAGGGATGTGGTACTTCTAATACACTCTTATTGAATCCTCATTCTTGAACAGCCAAATTAACTACTGCTTTCAAATAGTATTATCCCCACAACATTTCATCTTGTTGTTTTTCTAATTTCTTACATTGTTTTCTCACCTTCATGGAAGGATTCATTTGCCTGTCATCATGAGGATATAACAAACTACTGGAATGCAGCAGATGGAGCTCACGTATTGTGGCAACAGTACATAACCCTGGTGTTCAAAGGCTCTTTAGTGTCTTCAATATGTCTGCAGGGCAGCCAGGTGGGACTGCAGCATATACAGCTGTACCAAAAGTAACAGCAATCTGGATTTGTTGATACCAACAAAGAGAAAAGGATTTGCAGTCAGGTTTGGGTGTGTGAGGCTTGCACAGGACATGAATAGCCCATGCCGAAACCCTCAGCACTGACACTGCTGACTATACAGACTTTAAGAAGATTAAAGTTGGCAAAACTTCTGCTCTCTGTGCTCTAGCACTTCTGTTTAAATTGTGGGTATGTTCAGTGCAGTGTCTGTGTGTACAAACATATGCATGACCTGACTGTCACTTTCAAGATCCCCACTGCCCGGGTGACTTTCAGAGCTGCTAATGTAGTAACGTTATGATAACTACAGAATTGCAAATGCTGGCAGGATTTCTGGTCATTTTTATTCCTGTTTTTTTTAATACTGTGTCTAGATGGTTATTTGTCTAATCTTGCTACTTTCAGAATTTCTTGCAGATCATTATACAAGCTAATGGGGGATCTCTTAAATAAATTTGAAGGTTCCTAAGTGGATCTCTTAAACAAATTTTAAAAGGATCATTTACTTATTAACTGGTGTAAAAGGGAAAATACTGGAAGTAGACAGAACGTTCTGGATTAAACTGATGGATGAAGGGGAAATCAAAAGACTAAAACTATTAATCGGTTAGAGATGAAGTTTGCTGTTCCAATAGAAGAAGAAAGCCAGGGAATAGATTAGGTAAGGAGATAGGGATTAAAATTCCAGATACAAACAAAATGAGGTCATAATTGCAGCAATAGAACTAGAGCCTTGGGGGAGGAAAGCAGGTGTGCAGACAGCAAAGCTTCTCCTACTGGAGCACTGATCTCCAAGGAAATTGTGCCCTGGGGAACTAGGGGACAAGCAACGCCAGGTGGACTGGAGCCCTGCAGCCCAGTGACAATGACTTTTGGGTCCATCTAATGTAGAACCTTCTCTCTACATTAATTTTTTTCAGGGAGCTGGAGCTGTAACACAAAATGATTTCACGGAAGATTCAGGAATCCAGAAAGGAGTCCCACCACACCTGCTCGGGATACAGACTAACTGAGGTGGGGGTGACAGCACCTCCTTTTCACAGAATCATGGAATCTGCAGTGTTGGAAGAGACCCATCAGAATCACTGATATGTACCTGAGGACATTACCAAGTGCTTCTCGAACTCAGACAGGCTTGGTGCTATGACCACTTCCCTGGGGAGCCTGTTCCAGTGCTCAGCCACCCTCTGAAAAAGCTCTTCCTGATATCCAACCTAATTTTGTTTTGTTGTCTGCATGAATGGGTTTGTCATTCTATCACCAAAGACTGACCAAACTTCCAGGCCATGGAATTCTTCAGTGAGAGCATTTCTTGCTGTTTAACTCCTTTAAAATTACAAAAGCCAGGAAAAATATTAAACTGAATTAAAATTTAGGTTGTCCTTGTATTATGACATTTCACTGAGTATTCAGATGGGAAAGAATCTCCTTTTCTCTCTCTCTGCTCCAAAGACGGCTGTCTCTTGCTAGGCAGAAGGAGTCTGTGGTCACTTCGAACACAGATGAGTTTGTAAGCCCAGTTCAGCCTGTACCAGCTGAGGAGGAACGGAGACTGCTCTTCAAAATGAAACATCGTAGTTTGCTGGCTAGAGCATGCTACGCAAAAACTGAGACTATGGTTCCTTTAGTCCTTGTTAGAGAAGGATTTTGCTTCTGGAATGGGCTCTAGATGTTGCTGCTGTCCTCTGCCTTGGCTTCCCACAGGCCTCAGAGCTATTGACATGTTCTCATCCAGACTGTGCTTTCAGGACAACTACAGCTTGGATGTGGACAGTCCTTCAAACCAGGAGGCAGACAATATTGTCACTTGCAGAGCATAGACTTGTAGTGTAACAGATTAGTAGATAGGTCAGTTATTTGTTTTGAAAAATTTTATTGTGCCATTTAAAAAGAACAGGTAGCATATAGAAAAACTTACCCCTGAGTGCCATCTTAGGGTGTTGCCACTGAATTATCTTTAGCCTGTACAGCCTAGTTACTACAGAGGTCTCCTTTTTAATGTAGTGTAAGATGAATGTTTGAGGCACAACAAAATGCAGACATTACATAAACTACCACCAGTTCACACATCTTACCCTCAGGAGTCACAACCAGAAATGGCAATGAAGCAGTAGAGAACTTCAGTACCAAACACAAGCTTTCTCCTCTGCCATTCTAGGTCTTCTTGATGAGACTATTCTATAACCAATGAATGAAAGAGTTTTTCTGGGATGTTGTATGTGAGCAACACTTGGAGCTGTCTCACTTTAACTTGACTCTCTTTCTTGGCTATTCCTACATTAGATATTTGTCTTAATTTCCCTCAGTAGAGACAGTGGATATACCATACATAATGAAGTGCTTCTGCCAGTGCCAGCAAGAATGCGAGTACACCACCAAAAGTCAAGGTTGTAGGTAGCATCATCACCATAAAGACACCATAACCACCTTTACTGCTCCTGTGCGTGACACAATGGCAATGTGTTCAAATAGTTCCACATATATAACAGAGGTAGGAGACACTAGAGTCAAAGCTTTACTTTGATTTTTTCTTTGAGTCCCCTGCAAAGACTTGCATTTGACTGAAAGCATTCTGAATCAGGATTTATTTAACAGGGCAGACAAGGTGGCAAATAAGAAGGCAATGTATAATAACTGTGTAAATCTTAGTCAAAAAGTGATCAGGTCATAAGTGCTGAACACATGATGGCACATTAGTCTTCTCTCTAACCTTCTTGCTGTGGAAAAAAATTATCCAGTGCCTTTTCTGAATCACAGAAACAACTAGCACAGAGATTGACTAGTTACGTGTTTTAGTGTGTAACCACTCACACATGGTGGAAAAATTATTTCTTCTTATCAAGTCAAATATTCTGTCCTTGATTCATAGTAATGTAGCATGTGATGTATTCTCCCTTTTTGTGATAAAGGTAAAAATTATACAAGTACACTTGCTTTGTGCAACCTTGCAGCATTCTCCCCTTGTCTCCACCTTCAAATTTAATGTTCTAATTAGTAGAAAACTTGGGTAGGTATAGAAAAGCAAAAACCTTGCAATGCTAAGCCGTGGCTTTAATCAGATTAGAAGCTTCAAGAACACGTGTAGGACCTTCAGAAATCCAATTATACAGTTTAACCTGCCAATATGAAAAATTTGTTCCCAGCATAACCCTCACAGTCATGAATTCTGACATGAACCATAAATCTATTCTGTATTAACTCTAATGCTAGTTAATATAACAGTAAATAGTGTCTCATCTATGAAACATATGTTAGATTTTTTTATTATTATTTTTTTATCCATCTAAGCTCTTTTCTTTGTTTCTCTGAGAGAATGAGGAAGAAGGTACTCTGCTTATGGTTTTGTTCAGAATGTAGTTCAATTCCTTCTCTTGATTCTAAAATGCTTACTTCTGTATCTTCAGTGGAAGCTCCTCTTTTTCTTGTCTGAGGAAAATTAGATGAATGACATTTGGCTGACCTTCTGACACCGTTACAGGATTTTTCTATCTGCTCTGCCATTTTTAACCTAGGATGTGTCTAATGGCCGGAGCAGAAAGCATTGCAATAAAGCCCTTAGCTGCTGCCAAGTAATTATGTCCCAGAAAGGACATAACCCTGTCAGCCTTGGTCTGATCCTGAGCTAAGGAGCCCTGCTCCAAGGGCTAATGAGATTAGGTAGTGCAGTCTACTGACATGGGCTTCCAAATTCAACCTCATATTTTATTTACAGTTCTGGGACACCTTACATGGATGTACAAGCTTTTGAATTCCCCAGCATACAAGGGAGAATCACACTCTTTCACATGTAGGAGTAATTAGTACACTATTCCTTATCTTCTTCTTTTCAGTCCTTGCTGCTGAAGTTCATTTGTTTCTTTTCCTTGGTGTTTAACTTAGCTAATATTTTTTGCTGGGCTCAGCAGATTACATCTACACGGCTGTCTATTCCTGGGTGCCAGTCAAGGGAGGCCATGCTATTCAAATGCACAGTAAAGGTCTCAAAGCTGCATCCAGGTAGGGCCAACCCCATCCATAACGTGTCCAGGAAATGTTCACAGAGAGCAGAACTATCTCACCTTTTAACAAGATAAAGGAGACAGACTTACCTAATGTGTATCTTTGTGTAAATGTGAGAGGATTGTTGGAATTGGAACCATAGGGCCCACAAGTTTTATCTTGCTTTGTGGAGCAATGTCTTATCCTTTAATTGACCCAGCAACCAAGATTATCTGCACGTTAGAGGATGCCAAAGCAAAGTGAAAGAATCTGAGTTTAACCGTCAAGGAACTGAAACAAGTGAATTTTCAAGTGCCTTTGGAAGTAACAGTTGTTTTCTGAGGCTTAAGCATCTACAGTACCAGCTTAGGCAGTCTAAATTCACTGCAGAGTTTCTGCTTGGACAGCTCTTGATCTGCCCCTGCCAGAAAAATTAGCTTTGTTTATTGCCCTTCACCATCTCACCACTGACTTGAAGGGTGTGTGACCCTAGCCCCTTAAATTGCCTTGTTTGGACAAAGGCTTTACAGTGTCTATTTTGAGGGTGCCTTACAAAAACTGAATACCCAGAGGCCTCATTGTTCTCAGAGGGAAGTGCATTGTTACATTTGTAACTACAAATACTAAACAAACAAAACAAAACCAAACCAGATTGCACAATGCTAATTTATAGAAAACACAAAAAATATGCCAAATATTTTGCTCTAACTTAAGAAATACTTAGGGTTAAAAGGGGGGATATTTCTTAGTGCTAGTATCAGATAAGAAATAAATCAATCTACATTTGACCCAGGTTTGTCAGCAGTAGTTACTGGGTAATCAGTTCAAACATTACCTTGTTAGTAAACAGAAACATTCTCATCACCCTCTATTGCATTCTAAG